TCGACAAATCCGTTGATTGATTCGTAATCGCTAGGAGGGGCAAGTAAGTTTTGAAACGGTGTCCCTGCCGAACAGAAGGCAGCCCGTGGGATTACTGACCGTTAAATTGGAGCAGTATAAATTTTCGAATACCTAGTGGCGAGATAATTGTCGAATTGATAGTAAGGTCGACGCCTTCCTCCTAATCGGTTATGCTCACAGAGTTTTTGTAACCCATGGAAAGTGCATATGGACTCGATGCACCATCATGACAAAGGTCTGCGTGTACTAGGTATTCTTCCGGTCAGTTTTATGCGGCTGTCAATGCTAGTTTGTGCGCGTGGACATTGAACCAAAATGGTATCTGATCGATGTTGCCTGGGGACCATCCTTTGAATGAGGTGCATCAACTTCCACTCAAAGGAGACAGTCTGCGCTCGCTTCGATAACTTCGTGGGGATGTATAAGATCATAACAAAGACGACTCAAGCCGTTTCGGAAAGTTCATTGTCGCCTGTCTAATAAGCTCAGTGTTTCTGCCCTCAATCCAGTACCTTTGTCTACATAAGGGTTTTGAAGAGGTCAATCGAATGTCTAGCTGGCCACGGTCTGTCAAGACGTGAACCTAATTCGCGAACATTGGGTTTTCGATCCCCATCGGTAAAAATAATCGACTTCTCCACATCCGTTGTTGCGGATAGTCACGCCTGCGGAAATAAAATTTAGGACATCTTCGAGGCCGCCTAGCTCGAAAATGGTCACATTTGCATCTAGGAGAAATATATGCGAACTTTCTAGTTCACGTTACCCATCATGCAAACTCTGCCCGATCTTATATGAAAGATCACACATTTTGCTAGCAAAGTTCAGTTGACTACCCGCCCAACCTGAAAACCGTTGAGCCCAATCCGCTTTTAGTCAGCTCTCTTTTTTCGTCACGGTTAAACTTGTTATATGGACCGATTTTTGTAAAAAATCAGACCAGCCTGACATTGGTAACCATAGGGAATTGTTCATAAGAAGAAGATGCAATTGTTCGAAAAAGAGGTTTGTTGACTTTACGTTTCGGATTCTTACTCAAACATATCACCGGAAACCGTCACAGATAAGGGTAAGGCAAAAGATGCACAGTACTTATAGTCGGTAATGGCCGTGCGACCGTGTGCGTACTGTCATTAGCAGCCCTCGCTACCACTTCTGGGGATAGTAATCGATGCGAAGATAGCTTGGTAGTCCGCGCCAGAGTCATTTTTCGTCGCTATTTACTCCTTTTTGCTGGATATTGGCATCGCAATTCGACAATTTGGTTCGCTGTTGTTGGACGTGTTAGCCGTCCGCAACGGCATTTCGTAACTTTTTCCCCTGCTCACACAAGTTCTTAACAGATAATATGGAACGGGAGGTCCTTGTGCTTGTTGATGGACTGTTAGCCTGAAAACCATGACTCTAACTGCTTTCGGCCTACATGGTTGTCATCTCTTAGTCCTATCTGCGACTGTCTCTGACGGTGGGTCCGAACGATAATTCGAATAAACTTCTTGTTCCACTGATCGCATATTCTGAACTACTTCCTGGAACTCGCCTGTTCAGCAAGAAAAAATTGTCCTAAACAGTTTTACCACCCCAAGCCATGTTGTACGACATTGCCAGTGATGACATGCGAAAAGTCGACTTCACTCTTGCCTTAACCGTTTTGCTCTAGTAGCGAGACGGGGCCAGACGGTAACCTCAGCGTAGTTAATTGATCGTTAACATCAGAAAAATTGAGACAGCACAACAAAAGAACCTGCATTTTGGATAAGGAAAGAAACGATCGGCTGCTCGCCAGTCCAGTTATGTAGTCTAAATGTTTTTAAGTCGCATTGGTTATTCAACTGTAAGAGCTGGAAGACAAGGCTGGATCGCACGGCCGCATGCGTTTGATGAAGGGAAGAACTGGAGTTAACAGTTTTGGAACCAACCTTCGCTGCTTGAACACAGAAGAACGTTTGTTGGTCTAATCGTGTCAGCTTCTGGGCGGCAGCACGGAGCTCTAGAGGTGAGCGTCATCAATTGTGCCCGTTAAAAGGCATGGGTTTGTCTCAGCAATTACAAGGTGCCTCAAGCAAGACAAAATCGATTGACTTTATTTTAAGGACTATTCTCAAACAATTTGATAACTTTAGAGGTGTCAACGGTCATTCTTTACCTTTGCAATTTTTTTGTTTACGTTTTCATATGCACTCAGGTTTGTTAGTGACAGCTTAGGTTTGTTAGTGTTAGCTTAGACAAACACGGCATCCTGTATGGGTCCCCGTTTGTACGCATAATGTGAGCCAGCTCTACCAACTAGTTAACCTGCAGCTTTTTCGGTCAACACAGAACACTTTTTGGATTGACTTTCACACCTCATCGTTTAGATCGATATGAAACTACCTATTTGCCTGGATCGTAACTGTAGTCACAACAACTTGATGTGTAGTCTTCTTGCGAACTTGTTTACTTTGTTCAGTCTCAAAACTTATGCGACCTGTTGCCATTTACGCCGTAAAGTATGTGAGTCTCGGGGACTATTAGAAATTTGCAGGCGCCTTGCACATGAGTCGTATCATCCCGCTTTTCAGTCTAAGGTGTATACCTTGACCTCTTCGTGAATCATAAACGTGTGTTAAATCTATTTTCGGCTCAAAACTAAGGAATCAGCTTCATATTGTGGGTGACTGCCCACCACTAATCGTCCTTCCTTCAGATAAAGTCGACTGGCTTAAGCTTTTTGATCTCAGACAATACAAAACATTAACAAATTTGACTTGAAAGGGAATATCTGAATCCAACTCATTTACGTCAGTGCGGCTATCTGTGATGCTTTGGGGCGATATTACCAATAAGTCATGTTGCTGACTTTAATTCGTATTCACCCTTGTCCATCCTCTGGCTTCTGTTTAGTTTGTGAGAAAGATATGCATCCTTGGTGTTTTTCGTGCGACTGCCGTCTGCGTCATTCTTTTAAAGGTCTGCTGCCTGTGACGATTTCCACAGCCAACCTAGTGAGGTTTAGAAATTATTACTGCCATTTACGAACTCACTCTATTGTCAACAAAGTTTCGCCTTCGTTCCTGGGCTCTTTTCTACTCCACCTCGTAACGACTATCTTCCCACAATCTTACTGATTAAAAACTGCATCCTTGCTAACTAACCGTATGATCTGTCATTTTTCTATCCACAGGACACTGAGAAGATCATGTTAGAGAAGCTTCAAAGGCAAGTGGACGGCAGCGAGTGGTCCTGGGCAAATTTAAATTCGCTGTGCTGGGCCATTGGCAGTATCTCGGGCGCAATGCAGGAGGATGCTGAGCGCTCTTTCCTCGTTGTTGTGATTCGGGACTTGTTGGGCCTGTGTGAACACAAACGTGGCAAAGACAACAAGGCGATAGTAGCAAGCAACATAATGTACGTAGTTGGTCAATATCCTCGGTTTCTGCGAGCCCACTGGCGCTTTCTGAAGACAGTAATCACCAAACTCTTTGAGTTCATGCACGAGACGCACGAGGGTGTACAGGACATGGCCTGCGACACCTTCATCAAGGTGGCACAAAAATGCAGGCGTCAACTTCTGCTTGTACAAGTGAGTATCTCCCCCCTTCCCTGATTTAATGTTTCCACGCGTGTCTGCTCATAATGGGAATGCATGTTAATGAACGGAGGAGTCGATAAATCGGCACATTTGCGAAATAATCAGGCGAAGTCAGGCTGCTTTTTATTTAAGTATTTCGCTTATCCGACTTGTGGCCCACATCCCGTGGGCGAGACCCCCGAGCTGAAATTACGTAACGCCTCAAGTCGACCTTGGATAAATCAGGGATTGCTGTACTATCTGCTACCGAAAATGCGGGTCCCAGCAAGTAACGGAATCTACTTCCCAGCGTAAAATAGGTAAACCCATTCTGCCCTTGTTGCAATTTGCCTTTTTTCCTTTGTAGTACGGCGCAACCTGTGGTTTTGTTGACGAAATCATCCGTGAAATCGACTCCATCATTTCCGATCTTCAGCCGCAGCAGGTTCATACGTTTTACGAAGCGGTGTCCACAATCCTCAGCGCCGATGTAGACACTACCGAGCAGAACGAGCGGATCGAGGGTCTTTTTAGGTTACCAAACGAGATTTGGGACGAGATCCTCTGTCGCATCGCAGCTGATGCCAACGTTCTCAAGGACATCGAAACAGTTAAACAATTGTGCAATATTTTGAAGACCAACCTAAGCTCTTGCAAGGCTTTGGGACACCCATATCTTGTCCAGGTTCGTAGTTGCACCAAATTGAATACTTCTTATTCTTTATCAGCTTCTTTTTATCTAACTCAATATGATCTCTACCTCAGCTCTGTCGGATATATCTGGATATGTTGAACGTTTACAAACTTCTATCGGACAATATAAACGCGGCCGTACTTAGTCACGGAGATCAGGTGACAAAACAGCCGCTCATCCGCAGTATGCGATCGGTAAAGAAGACCGTTTTGAATCTGCTGTCTTGTTGGATCCAGCGCAGTCAAAGTCCAGAGCTTGTAAGTTTTTATTAACGTCATCCAAACCTCCAGAATAACTTCTCGAAGTTCTCGAATACATAAGGATTTCACCTTTAAGTTGAATCTATGTAATGGCTAGCCAATCTTCCGCATTCACTCAGCTTTTGAATCTTCTTATACAATGGAGCCGCGGGTTACGAGTAGCCCCACCTACGAGCATTTCGGGTAACGTGCGAGCCACTAGCAAAAAAGTTGTTTGACGAGTTTCCGCTCAGTTAACAATTTTTCAGTGTGTGTGTGGGCCTGTGTCCGCCGTTGAGTCTTGCTCGCAGGATGTGGGTTCCCGGTCACCTGCAGCCAATCAGCGAGCCGATGCAGTTTGATTGATAACGTTTTGCGAGATGGGCGTTTCACACGACGAGCTAACTGAGGTTCCACGGCATAGGCTCTTAATTACAATCCAGAACCCCGCTGCGACGCTCTTGTTTTCCAGGATGTGAAGTGTAAGCAAAGTTACTATAAGGCCTGGATACCGAGTCGTTGCGCGTATTGCTTCTGTGAGGTGAGCACAGTTTTGCACATAGAAGCAGCCCTAAGGGGTCTTTCTGTATGCCTTTACAGTTTTCGGCAAATGTGATCACAGACAGGGTGCCGGGACGACCAGTTATATTATGCAGGGGGTGTCGCAGGAATGTACGAGCCCTTTCTAATAGAATTGCCATGTTGGTTTCGCATACAGCAAGGCCCGGTTGACCGCCTTGATTTTTCTCTTGTCTTAGACTGAAGTAACTTTGATAGAGGACGACGCACTGTTTACCCTACCAGGGTCGCGCTTGCATTGCCATTCTGGGCGACATCTTATTTTGAAAGATCGTATTATATGACATGACAAAATCAGTAGCACAGCAAACATTATTTAAGTTTTCCGAACACATTATCTCTTGTTCGTAAACGGGTGAGGAACTAAATCTTGTCCGTTTGATTTAAATGATATTGAAAATAGTGATTAATGCGAAATTTAATGGATCCATAAAATTTCGTGGGTGCTCGTCAGTCACATCCACTCGGTGCGTTAAAGGTTCACGAATGAGAAAATTACGAAATTGAATTTGTACAGAGAGGTCATAGTCACTAAGGCTAATTAATAAAGAAGGAAGGTTAAAACAAAATGGAAGGGAAAACAGGGAAAC